TGACTTTATTTCCTTTTTACACAACAGGAAGTAAGGATGTTTGACAGGAGTGTTCCTTGAAACGAAGGCCAAATGTTTGATAATCAGTACAAAGTGTAATATTATTCTCAAATGTGATGCATAAATACTGATATAATGGAAAAAATACTTCAGTTATTTTCACCTAACTGTTTCCTCCTGGATTTTCACATGACAGTTTTAAGTAACTTTCAAACTGAAGACCTCCTCTAATAAATAGGAGTTATTTCCAAGTCAAATGCAAATGTAAACACAGGCATCAGTTATTAGATATACTTCAGGAATATGGTCTGTCACAATGAGGTCATCAGAATGGCATCAGAAAACAAAGAAGGATATTGTAAAAAGATGACAAAAATTCCTTTCTTCATTTCCCAAAAACTTTTTCTTATGGTTTAAAAAGGAAAGTTGCAAATAAGAACTTCTGAAATTCTTGTTCTATAGGTACTGTGAAATTATTCATTTAAAGCACATTATATACAAAATATTAATTTAGAAGGAAAACGTGAACCTGATTCTCTAACTACATGACCTAAGATGTGCTTTGTTTTGAAATACTGTGAAATGAGGAATCATAATTCAGCTTCTTTTTGATATTAAAGTAGGTCTAACTTGCTAAATTCTTCACCCATGAGAAAAATCCCACAGAATTAGGAGAATTTATTAAGATGTGAGATCTTGCCAGTTTGCAAGTTATACCAAAGTACAACTGGATATTGGTAAGCCTCTGAGGACGTTGAAAATGTGTTGTTAAATTCAGTGCAAGGAATGCACACTCTTCATTCTAGGGGAGAAACAGAAAAAGAAAGATTTATTTCTTTGCACTGAGAAAGTGTTCACTGCATTCTTACATAGTTGGAGTTAGCAATAAATGTAACGATTTACCTACAGCCTGAGGACTTGACTGCCCAAACCACACAGTCATTTTGAACAAATGCACAAAAATGAGATACTTTGTTCTTAGTGTTATCATCTAGCAAAGCAAAGACTACCCCAAAGATGGCAGCAGTTTTCAACATGACTTGTCTAACTTTGGAAAGGCTGCATATTTTAAACTTCTTTGAACAATGACTCTTCAGAATACCTCTATTCTTTCTTGTGTTCTAGGTTGCCCCCACTGTTCCAGGCTGCCTCCAGAAGGACATTCTTAAAGAAAGAGCTTTTTGAGAAGCTCAGGATCTTACCAAATCATACATCCATTTGCTCCATTAATTATTGACTCCTTTCCAGCCTAGGAATAAGTGTTTTGCAATGGATGTGGGAAAGAAAAGAAAGACTGGAGCAGCTGAGCAGATACATCCAAAGAGTGAGAGAACAGGGTATTGTGATTCCCCTGCAAATGCCAGGGGAAAAGCAGAAGACAGGCGCTATTAATATGAAAGCCATGCTTAGTAAATCTGATTGTTCCAAGGCTCTTGAAGGCTGAATGGTAGTTTTACCACATTTTAGTTTTTTGTCTCTCTAGCAGCTACCTCTCAGGCCAGACTGCTGAGAGCAAGAACAATGGAGTAAGAGGGACCAACAGTGGGGACAAGGAAAGGGAACAGACAGGAACCTGACATTCCCACCAGCAATTAAAAATATCACTCTTATATTGTTTCTGTTCCTTAGAGACAGTAATGATGTTTTCAGAATTAACAACTCTGCCAACTCTTAAAATTTTTTAACAGTGCATTTAAGAGAATGGCTGAATACCTGTGTGTCATGGCCTTTGCAGGGTTTTCATTACCATATGTCTGTCCACGAAAACCTGAAGGAACAAATTAAAATGTAAAGAGTCATTTTGTTTTCATTACAGTTCATACCTTTTTTTCATATTAACTGACTCCAGTTATTTTTTCATTTAGAATAGATGTGTTTCTTCTTAAATAGGTGAAATAATGTTTTAGAATATTTTGCTTCTAATGCAATCCAGAGAAGAGGGCAAAGGAATAATAAAACTGTAAAGGGAAGCAACTTTTTCCTTTGGGTTTTGCCTTTGAGAAATAAAATGCATGTCAATAACATCACTGCTCTACTGAGCACACTGACACTGCATGCAATCTTTAACAAAATGTAGTAATGATGTAAGTTTCTATTTCACAAAGATGTATACAATAGATATTTTCACTATAGTTCTATAAGATTGTTTTAGTAGAATTTAATTGCCACAAATTATGGACAAATTCTACATTTAATATTCCTTTCTTTCTCTTAACATACTAGGTTCAAGGACAAATCCCAGTGTAAGAATTATCACCCTAGATGAGGTTATCTTTAAGGAACTTTCATTATCTCTTGATTTTGGAAAGCTCATACTTGAGAAGATGTCTTAATTTTAGAAAATAAGCACTTGAGAATTCAAAATTCTTAGTAGTAATGCTGTTACATTCAAAGTCTGACACACAACAAAAGAAGCAGTTGATGACTCCTGATGACACATTAAGAGCACAGGGATTACATCAGTAAGTTGGACCCATGCAGTTTGGAGTCCCACCACCCAGGAACAGTTTGCACCAGCTATCTCAGAGGGAAGTTTCAGCAATCTCCTCCCAGCAAGACAGCAAAGGTGGAATCATCTACTTGCTAATGTGGATAACATTATCCCAAAATATGAAGTTTGGCAGAAGCCATGAATCATATCCTATTTATGCTTCATTTAACAAACATAGCATTCACATATTAAAGCTTGGAAGTCCCGGAAGTGCACAGCTTATCTTTTTTATTTTTTTTATTATGAATCTCCAGAAATTCTTGATCAGAACAGAAATTATGCTAACAAATTCCACATTTTAATCAAACAATATGTCCAGAAAATTCTTTACTCAGTTTTCAGTTTTCCAGCATTTTCATTTAATACAGAGATCCATTCTGTCCTATTAGAAGGCAGAGGGGAATTCCCTGACTGTCATCCCTGGAACCTATTGTTATTTTTGATGCTTTTTTCATATCCTTCACATTTGTTAAATGGAAATTGTGAATAAGGAGAATGTATCCAGATTGAATGAATCACAACATTCAGAAATTAACTGATTCACCTTGAGTGGACTTGTCATGAGTTTTTAAGAGCAGAAGAAAACTGAACAAGCATTATGTCAGTGCTTGCACAGAAGGCTGCAGTTGGATTGCAAATTCAAGTGTCAAGTATCAGGCTTCCAAATCTGAAGCTAGAGTTAACTGTACACAGAGCAAATCTTTCACAGGCATTGCTATGTTTATAATGGACTGGGAGGGGCACTGTCTGCGTGGGTTTGGGGAGGTTTTTTTCTTGAAGTGCTCAGACTGAGCTTTCAGCTCCGCTCCTTTTTAGACTTTTCAGTTTTGCTAAACCTAACCCTGTGTTCTTAACCATAAACCCTTGAGGCTTATTTACTTCAAATTCATTAGATTTTACAGTGCCTTACCATCAGGGATTGGAGATTTCAGAATATTCTGACTTCATGAGCATATGTGAGTGCATTGAACTCGTAATACTATCCTCAGAGTAATTCTTCAGTGGAGGAAACTCCTGCTGTTCCATTTGCAGAGGTGGAGAATTAACAGTAGGGCTATACTGCAATCACTACAATGACAGAAGTGCGTGCCTACTTGCCAAGGATTGTTTTAAACTAGTTACTTCATCTACCAAGAGCAAGGCAAATGTAGGTGTGGTGTGCAGCATTTGGCACAGGCTGGTAAATTCACCCACGGAGCAGAGAAAACAGACAGCCACACAAGTTGCCCTTACAGTAGCTAATTAAAAGCTGGTTTAAATAGAAGTCCATTGTCTATAAAGAAAATTGAGCATATCTAGCTCACATGTAGACATCCACATTCAGTCAGATGAATCCCATCTTCATTTCCCAATGAAAGCATCCTTCACCTGAGATGTTCTCTTCCATTCAGTCAAGACCTGTTTTTTCTTTGTCATCCTAAGTACTTACCACAGTGGATATCACAGATCTGCAGTGGAACTGAATAATCTACATCTGTCCTCCAGCCCTTGTAAAAGAAAGAACAGAATCTTATTCCCCTTTCAGCAGTACTGTTACTAAAAAGTTCTGTTGACATCAATAATAAAATACTGCTTTATTATCTGCTCGACTGAGTACAATTTTATTCTATTTTTAAAGAAATGTACATGGAGACTTCAGTCCACTGAAGTCACTATCATTTTTAATTTTTAAATTTAGGTTTCTAAATGTTAAAATCAATCAGTTTTTTCTTGTTTGAAGAGTTATATTCTGACAGATGTTATCTTATTTACACAGCAGACAATCTATACAGTAAAATATCAACTCAAGAACTCAAGAGACTCAAGATACACCAAGTTGAAAACTTTTAACTCCAGAGAGGAGAAAACCAATTAGCTTCATATTCATTTTCTATTAATGTTGTCTTAATGAAGTTCAGCTACAGAATTAGTGTGCAAAACAGTAATTTGGTTCTACAGTGCTTTCAGGAGCACTGATTCTAGTAGACTATGTATTTACTGTGCTGTTAGCTAGTTGTCTAACCTTTATCAATTAATGTCAAGGTTTCAAAGATTCATCTATGATTTACTTGGATCTCTTAACTAACCTTTCATTAGAAACAAAGGAACATACAGAAACAGGATTAACAATTTCCTGTTGATATCCATTTATCTGCCACTTACAAAGCAGCAGGATCGCTGACAGCAACTTCTCTGTTAATTAATATCATCTCAACAAGAGGTGGTGGCAGCACTTCAAGCTATAAATAATGCTCTTTGCCAACTCCATTTGCACAGCAATCAGATCTGGCTAGGAGGCAGAAGCTGAGAGGGTGCCTCCTGGTTTCCTTCTTCTATTTTTCTTTTTTTCTTTTTTATGTCTTGTTTATTTTGTACACAGTACCTGGCAAAATCAATACACGTACCTGAATGCAAATTGTTGACCCGCACATTTCCCGTGACATTGTGATTGACACAGAATCTCCCTTATGGAAAGAAAGACAGGAAAGAAGGAAGGAAGGAAGGAAGACAAAAAAAACTATTATTTTCTATATCCTGAAACAATGAAGAAATATTGTCTTTCCATCTCTTTTCTTCCTTTGCCAGTAACACTGCATGTTTTACTGTGTTGGAAATTTAATATATAAAGTAAAAAATATAAAAGTACACATTCATCATGGAAGGTTTCCCATTTTCAGAGATATCCCTGGTTCTAAATGACCATAAGCAGCTAGGGTAGTTTTGTCAAGCACAGTTTGGACAGGATAGGAAGAAGGCCAATGCTCCTGTATTTTGTGAAGTACCACGAGGGAGGACACCCTCCCACCAAGGCTGCTGACACCATGATAGCACCAAGCATCTTCACTTCTTTTCCCTGGTGTACATAAGTTGAAGGAATGACCCTTTCTTTGCAGCTATTGTGGGTTTCCCATCTTATTGTATGCCAAGAACAAGCTCAGCCTTAGGGTAAAATTGTCCTAAATGACTGTTCTGACACTTAACATTTGATTGTTTATAGTTTGTCCTCAAAATAATTTTAGTTAGTCCACTAATAGCTTTGCATCCCACACTGTTTTCTTTAGTGTGGCAAACTCCTAAAATAATTTCGGGTAAATTAGGTGAATGTGTTCTTACTCAAGCACAACCAAACTGGGATTACTAGAAAGAACATCAGTTTCTGGGAACACAGAGCTAAGTCATTATGAAAATTTTGTGTATATTGCTCACAGTGGTGAGACGGGAACTGAGTGTAACTTATGTGGGCTCCCCACTGTGTCACAGTACACAAAGGAAATCACAGCCTTGCACCAGAAGGAAGAAAAAAAGCATTTGTAAACGTACCGGTGCCCTTCATGACAGACACTGTACAGCACCTGGCTCTGCCTTATCAGTGTTGTACCATTAGCCTTCTCACTTTGCAATTCACACATTATTTAAAACCAAAAGTCTAAATTCCACGGATTTTATTTGAAATAAGCAAGTTGAAGAGAAATTACACTGATAAGTGTTCACTACACATATAGTTTGTCAACTGCTGCTACATTGGTCTCCATCTGTGCCAGTAATACAGCATTTCTCTGGATATCTTGCTCCACAAAGACAGACTTCTCTTACTCTTCTCAGTGACATCCAACGATAAGGCAAGAGGCAATGGGTGCAAGCTGGAACATAGGAGGTTCCACATAAATATGAGAAAAATCTCCACAGTGAGGGTAATAGGACACTGGAACAGGCTGCCCAGAGAAGTTGTGGGAAGTCCTTGTTTGGAGACATTCAAAACCCTCCTGGATATTTTCCTTGTGACCTAATCTAGATGCTCCTGCTCCAGCAGGAGGATTGGACTAGATGACCTTCTGAGGTCCCTTCCAATCCCTTACATACTGTGAATCTGTCAGTTCTTGACTTTTGATAGACCTATACCCTCATTTCTCAGATCTCTTGGAGGAGATATGTTTCACTTAAACTCAGCTTCAACTTGTGTAACAAAACTCTGAGTTGGAAAACTCAGCTTGGAACAAATGCTCTGCTACACTCAAAACAAGGGATGTAATAAAAAATCTAAACGGATTCATTAGAAAATAAATTCAGCTTTCAGTGTCTATCCCATTGAGTTTAAGAAGTCAATTGCTTGCTTAAGAAGTTGCCTTCTTGTCAACAACCCCCTGCTATGTGCATGCTGCATGCTGAAAGGATCAAGGACTGAAAAAGCAGTCTTGCCCTCCCACAATCTTTTTCCTCTCTCCTTTTTGCTGTAAGAAACAGCTGTGCAGTCAGAAGTTGTTGCGCAGTCCCAATCAGCTGTCTGAAAAAGTTAAATTGTCTGAAAACTTTCCTTTTTTTGTGAGCTGAAGTGGGTTTCTTTTGGCAGCCATGAGATTTAGAGTAGCTCAAGACCTTTGTGGAATTGTGCCTCAAGTCTTAAATGTAATGATGTGAGACCTGTGAAGTCAGCTACATTGATGAACCACATACGAAAAGCTAACAGTTACATTTGCTATATTCATAATACAAATACTGTACCACAAAAATGATATTAAAAGAATACTAAGGTTCTGCTCAATAGTAGTTACTTTCTTTGACATGACTCATTTGACCTCAGCTTTCTTATTAATATCTTCCATCAGCGTGGGATCAGAATTAGAACTTCATGCTTTAAAAATGTTCCAGTAATTGTTCCAATAAGTACATGCGTGTGCTTATTAACACTTTCAAGCTGCATAGCAATAAATGAAATAATAAATAAATGCAGTTAGATTTGGTGGAAAGTATTACAGAATTTGAAGAAATAATGTATACAAACCACAGAGACTGAATGGCGCATCCCAACAGATTCACATGAGGCCAGCTGTGTCCTGTTACACACCAGCACTGAGAAGTGTGCTTTGGTTTGGGATGTGAAGAAAACTTGTATTCGATCTGCAACTGCAGCTGTTCTCATCTTCCAAGCTGACAACAGGGGAAAATAATTACTTTTTCATACTGATCAACACTGGACCTACTGGGAAGTTTATACACAGAAGTAACAAACTGCCAAATCTCTTTGCTATAATTTACAGGCTACAATGATGTGAATACATTAGTGAAGAGAGAACTTGCTTACTGGAGAAAGCAATTCACAATTTAGTATTATGTAATTTTAAAAATATATATTTACCTGGAAATTCTCCATGAGCAAATGGACATTTAACCCAAGAGCCTTGCTTGGTTGTAAACTGAAACCAGAGAAATCAGTTAGGAAAACTGATTTTTTTTATTTCAGTCTGTGGGTACAGATTCAAGTACACATAATCACTGCATTCCAGAAAAGGAAGATGAATTCACAGCTTTTCTGCTCTATGCTCTCTTCAAACATTTGATTTAAATTAGATCCCCACATGCTCAATTTTACAGAAACATATAGTTCCATTGACTTAAAAGTAGTCTACAATAAAATAATAATGTGCCAACATTAATCTTACATGGCATTTTTTCCTCACCAATAATAAACAGCACTCCAGTAAATGCAGCATTTCAATCAATCACTTTTATTATTAAATATTAAATATGGAAAATTTTCCACATTAATTTTAATGTATGCTTCAGAGTTTGAGTGTGTGACCTAAAACATTTTCACTGCTTTTCTTAAGTAGAAAAATCTGGGCATGATTTGACATTTGTCAGATGATTGCTGCTGCACTTCCAAAGACTCATTTTAATTTAATCTTTCACATTTCCTTCATTTTTACTTCCTATTCATCAGAGCTATGAAAAAAAAAAAAAATTAATCCTGAACAATAATACCAATTCAGAAAGAGGACAGGAAAGAGGTTTTTTACAAAGAAACTACTTTACCTTCATGCAAAGTCTTGGGTGAGTGTCCACACGAGAGTACTTAACCTGCTTGAAAAGAGAGTACTCAGCATTAGCTGGTTTCATTAACTAGTTTCAAAAATTAATTATCCCAGATGTTCTTGGTTTGATAACAGAGGAAGGAACTGGTTTACTTACTGGCATGAAATATTAAAAAATAGAAACAACTGCTATTTTGGATTCCTGAATAATTTACTTATATTTATCTGTAACGTAGCATTTTTATAGTCAGTCTAACCCATTAGAGTTTAATTAATTGATTTTGTCATAACTTGGGTACAAAATTCTGATTACACAGTAGTCTTCTTCTGGGCCCTTATTCATCAGCAATGTTGCAGAATGTTTAAACATTCACTCCAGAGTGTTGTTGGTTTAACACTTTTACCTTAAGATAATTCTCAATTTTCAGTATCTGTATTCAAGAAAAGACTTAAACATAGAATGAACTTCAGAAACCCACTTAAGTGATCTACAAAATTTTTCTTTCTTGACTAACAACAGTTCACCTTCCCATGGAGTTCATTATGAAAAGCCTCATCTCATATAAACAACTGCTACCTGTGTAAGTGTTCTTACTAAGACGAACACCATTGCTCAAGCAGCTGAACATAGTGGTTCCAATACACAAAACACACTATCAGGACCAAAGTAACACCTCATTATTGTACCTTTTTTGATAACCACACACAGTGAATATCCTTAAGCATATCCACAGTAGGATTGCAGAAAATAGTGCCATGGGATCTATCTGTTCAGAAGTGGAGACATCATGGTCTTTGACAAAGAAAGGCACAGCCTGATTAAAGAGAAGAGTTGCATAGCATCTAAGTCAATACATGCACATAGTATTAGAGTGTGTGGCTCTGTGTGTGCTTACTGGCGAAGCTGGCATTATCTGAGTAATCTCTGCAGCACACTATAAAGATGTTCTTCAAGAAATGGTCAAAATTTAACACCCTTCACAATGAAATTGGAGAAAAAAAAAGAAAAAAAACCATCCTGTTAATGAATTCAGCCATTGAAAGCAATGAGTAAGTACAAGAAAACACTCATTGTCTGTAATAAAACAACATTGGACAATGTTTTTGGTAATAGACATGACCATTACTAGACAAATCTCATTTTAGGATTCCTTTTTTTTTCCCTTTTTTTTTTTTTCTTTCCTGCAAGAAATGAGTTATGCTTGTTGTCAGCAGATGATGAATCCCACCAGGCTCACATATGTAAAATTAAGCTTATGTGTTTTTGCAAGATCAAATCTTTGTTGAGGGACATAACATGGTGAATCTGAACAATCACTGAACACTTGCCCCAGAGTTCCTAAACAAAAAAAAACATTCTAATCCTCAGCTCAAATTCTATGCAATTTCATAAATTCAATGCATTCAGTCCCATGATACTTCAGACTGAAGTATGTAGCAGTTCAAAATACATGCATTAGGAATATAAGTGCTGAAAGAACTGAGGAACACAGTATTTCAATACCCACAACTTCAAGGCATTGAATCCAGTTTGAGGAGGGCACTTCAAAGAGAACATAATGGAGTATAAAACTACCATCAAGGTATTTTTACATCTTCACTAAGATCTAAAGAGATTTAGATTTGTCTGACTTCCATTTTAGATATCTAAAGTTAAATATCCAGATTATGATGTTATGATGTCCGGTCATAATAGACTCTTGTCATAATGCAAAACATCAGAGATATAGTCCTCCAAACTTTCTTAAATATCTATTGTGAAATGAAAAGAACTGTCCTCTGAATGTGTCTGCTTTATTTCCTTACTTTAAAGGGTATCTGAAATGAACAGTTTTGACTTGAACACATAATTTTTAGACAGCTAAGTCAGAGCAGATGAATCATGCCTTTACTATAAATGAAAAGCAGAATCTATTGACCCCAAAGAATTTAGTAAACATTACTAGCTTCACAGTCATGTCTGTCTTTTTATTTCTTAATAGTGAGTCAACCAATATTGAACTTTCTGAATAAATTATGTGGTTAGTGTACAAGAACAAACTGTGGTTATGAACAGTTTAAAGTATCACAGAAGAAAAGAGGAATTTGCAACTGCTCTTATTCCAAAGGCTAGCTTCACTTTATGTATTGTTCTGGTCATGGCCAATCTCACTAGTTGAATAAAGAGCCGTATAGCTCTTACCTTCTCAGGAAAACGTTTGGAAGAATCTTGTATATCTTCACAGTGGTCATTAGACTTCATTAATCTGCACAGGTTAACAATGACAAGCACAGGGCAGGCTGGTTCCCAAGCTAGGGTTTGTGTCACTGGATTATAAACAATATTATCCCATAATGCCGTTGTATCTGTGCACCAAAAAAGTGGAAACATTATTCAGAATGTCAAAAAAAATGTAATCAGGGAAAGACACTTTAAACTTAAGACCTGAAAATAAGTTATTTCATCTACCATAATATAACAAGCCAGCATAACAATTTCCTTGCAGTTTTGCAATGCAAGGTTTTCACCTTAGATGAATTTCAACTTGTGACAAAAAACACTCAGATAAAGAGTAATCAAAAAGTACTTGCCATTTTCAAAGGGACAAAGTTGTAACCTCCTGGCATCTGGTATTGCCAGCCAACCCTAAAACCCAAAAATTAGCGATTAACTGGAGATCTTCAGATACAACATTTTTTAACTCTTCAGAAAGAATGTGAAAGACCAGCCTTCCCACTAAAGACACATACATGTTATGTCTATTATGGTATTTGGGGAAGTATTTTTTTAAAAGGCTTATTTGCACTGGATATCTATTCAGCACTATTGGGACTGGAGGTGATGAACTAGCCTAGCTGGAAGCCGATGACATGGTGATGGTGACCGGATGATGTGACCTCTTCCAGCCCTACATGCCTACTATTTCTGAGTTGTATATTTGGACCATATTTCATTTAAAAAGACTACTAACTTGATATTCATTGTTTCTTACAGTGTCATTACATTCTAGGGGTAATAAAAGACATTTAAGAATCATAATGCTAGATCTCATGAGCTTTGTTATGGCTAAGGATGCAGCCTTGAAGTCTGAGGACTAACATTAAACCCAATCTTGCAGGAATCTATGCATGACTGTTAGTATAACCTAACTGTTTAGATTAATGTGCAAATGTTTTTATTGCTCACAGATTTGTTTGCTCAGCAATTACACGGTGGGTTTCTCTGTATATATACTAAGTGGAATATTTTCCAGTGACCTCCTACCTTTCGGAGTGAAATTAAAAAAAAAAATTAAAAAAATTACTAGGTTTAAAAGAGATCTCCTGGTCCAATTCATATATTAAAGTATGTGATATTAGGTGTCTACAGTGTACACATCTGAATGTAACTAGACTATCCAAATTCATATTACAGTAGCCATATGAAAGTCCAGTCAGTGCAGGCAGTAGAATTTTCATAGTGCTAATCAGCTCATTCAAAAATAAGCAATTACATTGGTTCACTGAGTAACTCTACAGGCTTCACTTACTGCACTAACTAGATTATCAATGACTAAAGAATTTGGACATTTAATTAAAAGGTAGGCATTTACATATGGATATCTACATTTTTTTTATGTTAATCCACAAGTAAAATACTACTCCAGTATTCAGTGAGAAACTAGTATTTTTGTATTTTATCAAGTTCATTTTAAATTAATTTGGTGAGTTTTTACTTCTTGCTCATCAAATTATCAGTAAAGAGTGTAGATACTGTGATTACAGGAATGGAGCTTATCGTCCTTCATGTCTTTAAAAGGCTTTAGCTTAAAAAATGTGTTCATATAAGAAACCGTTCTGATGAGTATTTAATAAACAAACATAGTTTCTCTTTACATGTATTTTAACAGGCTAAAGAAAACATCTTCTTTGAATCTGTGTTGCAGTAGGCGTTTGCGGGGTATCGGGCTGTGACGCGATAGGACCTCCCCTGCTCTGTGATAAGAGACTGACGCACACCTGGAGGCGTAGATGTACTAGACATGAGTAAATGCACGTGGACATAGTAACATAGATAAGCATGTAAAGTATATAAATTGCTGTTTCGCTTGCAATAAACGCCATCCTGCCTAACATCACCTTGGTGTGCACGTGGTGAGATGGTCGGGTCACAGCGGGGACGGCGTGAACCCTGGCCGGGCCATAGGAACGTGAGGAACTAGGGGTTTCCTACGCGGAAATAGAATCTGCTTTTTAAGACAGCCTTTCTAGTCCCCAACCATTCTAGATTTTTTATGTACATCTTTCATTTTAATTAATGTTTATTAAATAAGGATGCAATAATTGCCTACATTATTTCATAGAAAGTTTTACCTATACTTTCCT